TCGGGACTTAGAGCTCCCAACAATTCAACAATTTCTTAAAAAACTCTCTGAGAACTTCTTCAAAGCCTCAGAGTCGCACCCAAACCATTTAATTCGTGAGGCAGCTTCTTATGCAGCCCCACCCCCCCTCTCGCTATCGTGTCCGCAGGCCGAGAAACTCTCTCTCGGACCCGCCTAATAAACTTTCAAACGACCTGAACTGTCTCCTGGCGGCTCAGGCCAACTCTAATTAAATAAAATTATTGTAATATCTGACATTAATTTGCCTTCGTAGGCACTCCCTCAGCGGCACTTAGCCGCCTGCGCCCTCTTTTCCCAAAAGAGGGTCGCTCATGATAAGGCACAATAGAGCTTAATCAGCCGGTTGCCTGTCCCCAAAGGCGGTTTTTAGGGGGTATCACTTAGGGTCCCCGGTAGGACAGTGAGTCCCCCATAACCACGATAGACCGGCTATCGTGGTATGCGTAATGCATTTTCCGCCTCCCTACGTACAGGGTAGCCCTTTAATTGCTTCGGGCGCAAAAAAAAAAAAACAAACAATAAACTCAGTCTCGCTTCAGCTTTCAAACTAGAAGCATCTCCTAAAGGCCTTATCCCGGGGCCGCACTGCCCCGGGATCCTGCAAGCCTCTGCCTTCACCTGAAGTCGTCGCCTAGCCACGCCTACGCCTCCACTACTAGTGCCCGCGCTATCTTTAGCCGCTGTGCGTGCTTGTTTCAAGCGCTGCGTGTGCCTACTCCGGGCGCTGCGTGTGCCTACTCCGGGCACTGCGTGTGCCTACTCCGGGCGCTGTGTTTGCCTACTCCGGGCGCTGTGTGTGCCTACTTCAAGCGCTGCGTGTACCTACTCCAGACGCTGGGTGTGCCTACTCCGGGCGCTGTGTATGCCTAGTCCGGGCGCTGTGTGTGCCTACTTCAAGCGCTGCGTGTGCCTACTCCAGACGCTGCGTATGCCTAGATCAGGCGCTGCGCAACTACCACAGGCATAGCCTGTGCATACTCCGTGAGTGGTGAGCACCACTGCCAAGCGCGGTGTGCCACCTTGGTCTTCGGGCTCCGTTTCGGTACTCATTTATCTTTGTTATTTTTTTTTAAAATAATTGTAATTCACGTCACCCATCATCATCTTCATATTTTTTTTATTATAAAACTGTAAATATCTTTTAAAATTTTAAATAAATTATTCGTTTTTGTTCTATTTTTGTTGTTTCGTTGTTGTTAGGTTAGGTTCTTTTGTTTTTAATTGTAGCTTCACGACAATATCCTCTTAATTCGCTTCTTTTAGAATGGACACTGGTGAAATAAAACAGCAATTACTCGTAACTGCCCCTTGGAAATGAGATACTGAATTTCCTTACCCTCACTACTTTCACTTCACTTTTTCCTGATTTCGTTTTTCCTTCTTGATTTAAAACTGAAAACTGTAGCAGGTCCTGAACAATCCCAAACGAATTGCAAATTGAGCGATTTACTTAAGTAACACCGAGCTAAACCATAAACTGAGCCAGGCGTGAAAGCCTCCTATTTTCGCACATATCACATTTCCATAATTTATTATAGCAATTATATGTCTCAAAAAGAACAAAATTAAACACATAAAAACAATAAAACCTTTACATTATACTGGGTATTTTTGAAACGCTCCCGAAAACGAAAACAGACGATAAGCATTAGGGATACATTTGATGATGATACACAAATAAAATCGATCCCGATGCAAAAATAATCATTTTTTACAACGTTTAATTAGCTTTATTCACGCTCTATCATGTTAGTACAGCTAAATGAAACGATAATTTCGTAATAGAAATCTTGAAAATACCTAAACATAAAACCAGCAATGAAACTTCAATACCTAAAATCAGCTGATAAAGAGTCAATAGACGCGCGATGCCGAACGCCGGCATGCAGCCCACGATCGTACCAGTACCTAATAATTTACAACACTTGACTAAATACGTAATTTATCTACTTAACCAACTGTTTTTCCACTGTGCTAGTCTCCATCTAGCCACTTTAATTCGATCTCACAGGTTAAATAAATCAAATTCCTGGTTCGATTCCCCACTAATGAAAAATTTATTTTCAGAACTAAATTATTTTAAAAAATAGGTATTAAACAGCTAAATCCTCCGTGGCCTTTTATGAGATGCGGCACAAATTGTGCCCCATTCATTTCGAGGCAGATTTGGGCTCCGGCGTTGCGTCTCCTCATGTGGGCGGGACATCATCGTGGGGTCTTCGACACAGTCCGCATGTTGTTTGTCGAAAATATCCACGATCCTTTGGTGCATTTCGTCAGCACTATCACACTGACGATGAAAAACCCTTTCTTTCACATACAGAAAGAAGTGTAACGGGGTGAGATCTGGTAAGCGAGGTGGTCAAGCGTGTAGTCCTAGTTTGCCGATCCAGCGATCATGAAATAGCTCGCTGAGGCGCTCACGGACGAACCTCACGACATGTGTAGGTGCACCATCATGTTGGAACCATGTAAGGTGATATTCAGCCAACGATAGGTCGTCCAAAATGTCAACCAACTGTTCATTTATAAAGTTAGGTATCGCTGTCGGTTAAGTCGCTGTGGCAGAAACACCGGTCCTAGTATGCGATCCTTAAATACTCGTAAACCTGCCCATACGTTAACTGACCATCGGGTTTGGTGCCGGGTTTGTCAAATAGCGTGCGGGTTAATCGCATAATACACGTGAATATTTCTTCGGTTCCACAGGTCGTTTCTGGTAAATGTGAAAATGACTCGTCCACCCAGATGACGTGCTCAGTGAAACCAGGCACACGTTATTGCTGGTCTAATAGCCAACGGCAGAAACCTCGTCGGCGGTCGTGATCGCCTGGAACTAAAGCTTGCACTTTGTGCACTTTTTATGGTCGCATTTAACACTTTGTGAACTGTACAGTACGACACACTTGTTCCATCTCGACGCCTTAACAATTTAGCAATACTTCGTGTACCTAAGTTTGAATTCCGGCGAACGACATCTAAAATGTGCTCTTCAGAGTGAACAATCACATGACTTCCACATTTAAAAATATTAAGTATCAATTCGTTTCTCAATAGCTTAGCTTAGTTATGAATACTAGGTTTAATGTTTGTTTTTGAATCTGGAGTTACTATGATTGAGTTTCTGTTTTTCATGGATCCTCCCCGTGTTTTTTATGTGCTTCATATCATTATACAATAGCACAGTGAAGGAGAGAGTTGATGAAATGTCAGAAAATGTTAAAGGGCAGCTGATTTTGAAATTTAAGGGAAGCTGTTTTATGCATTGCAATTAGATGAGAGCACGAATTTTAGCATTGAGGCAAATTTGCTTGTTCGTTCGTTTCGTTACGAAAACAACAACAGCATAATTGGGAATTTTTTATTCCGTATGCCTTCATACACTACGGGTGATGCAATATTTAAAGTATTGAATAACTTTACGTCCACTCATAAAATAACGTGGGATAAATATGTGCACCGATGGTGTCCGGCTTATGTCTGGTACACGAATAGAAATTCAACCGCGAGAAGAAAATAAATCTATATTATATAATAATAGCTGCCAAAAATATGCCAGAAAACTTAAAAACAGTGTTAGACGACATAGTGCAAGTGGTGAATTTTGTTCAAGTTAAGTCTTTAAATTCCCGCATTTTCAGTATGATTTGTGAAAAAATGAAAAGCGTGCATAGACAGTTGTTATTGCATGCTAAAATGCGTTGGTTATCTCGTGACAAAGTTGTGTCGCATGTTATTGAGCTGAGACATGAGATCAAAATGTTCTTTTTAAAGAATTCTGAAGGCGGCGTCAATAAACATTCTGATCACTTCAATTACTTTAGATGGAGCACAATGACAGTGTATTAAACTGATCTTTAATATCCTTAGCGAGCTGAACTTAAATCTACAAGGTAGAGATTACAACATCTTCCAAGCTATAGATAAAATTGAAGCGATGCTATAAAACTTGACTTTTGGTCCGTATTGTACAACTAAAAAAGTATAACACTTTGCTACAATGCCAGCGTTTTTGAAGTCCTCTGGTGGAAGGTAAAACGGAATCAGACCCTTTCAACACAGATATTACTGTCATTACTGGATTGACAACGGCACAAGCAAGCAATTAATAAAAATATCCTGTGATTCAGCTTTAAAACCTAATTTTAAGGAATACATTTTATCAAGTAAATGGGTGAACGTAAAGAAAGATTATAAGAAACTATCAGAAGAAGCACCGACAAATTGACTACTTTTCTCAACCACATACATACCTCTGTGAAGTGGCATTTTCTGCTTTTGTATTTATTTATATATTACAATCTAAATAAATACAAAAAGGGCTAAGCGCTCGCTGCAATACGCGAACGAGCCGAGTTTGATTCCCGCCGGCACCAATGAAATTGTTAATAGCAATTTTAAATGCGGATTTACCTCGTGTTCGACGTTTAAGGAAAACATCGTGAGGAAACTTTTAATAACTTAACTAATATTTTCGAAAACATGTTAAGTACGCCAACACTCATTGGGGCAGCACAGCGGGTATTTCCTTTCCTAAAACTCTCTCAAAAACGAGAGGAGGCCTGTGCCCAGCAGTGGGACGTATATAGGTTGTAACTTGAACTTTTTTTTAACTAAAATCACCCATAAGAGTTCTTTTGAATCCGAATTCATTTTTTTACCTACCTTGCATAAGTTTCGAGTCAATCGCCTCGTAAAATATAGTTTCATTGTAACACCCTATTTCACCTTTTTACTGGTTATTTTTTTAAGTTGATGCCTTCGTTATATAAGGCAGCACTGTTCAAATTTTAGACCCAGCGGTATCCATCGGTTTAGACCATGCGTTGACAGATGAGTTAATCACTCAGGACATCGTCTTTTATTTATATAGAATATAACACTGACTTGGCATTCATAATTTTACTACAAAAGATAAATATTTATAAATTGTATCCAATTTGTTACTAATAATATCCACAAATTATTTATTTCTGATTTTATAATTTAGTTTTAGTTTTTGGTCTTGGAGGAGCGGGTGCGGTTGGCATTGCATAATATTTATCATAAATAGCATCCCAAAAAAGAAATCTTTGCTGTATCAGAGGTCCTCGCAGCTTCATCGTTTTATCGAGTGACATATGAGGACCACCGTTTGCATCGGTAGGCGGCCACGTTGGAAGATCTGAACCTTCTGCAACCGGTTTTCTGTAATAATCGAAGAAAATTAAAAATCTTGTTTTTTTACATAAACTAAAGACCTACTACCATATACTACGGACTTTCATCAGATTAACCGTATGCTAATCTAATGGTAAGTGGCTATGCCGCCGCCAATGAAAAACTGCAACACCAGGCTATTGCAAGTGCGTTGCCGGCCGACGTCTTATTACATTTAAAATGATTTTATTGTGTAGTGGTTGTGTAAGAATATCCACTACCCCGTGTCATTCCGCCGTTGTCGTGAGAGGCGAGAGAGTGAAACAAACTGGTAGATGGGCAACAGCGTTTTCCTAACCCTGTCTGCCTAGTGTGACTACTATAGCAAATATACCTCTTATACAGTATTCATCTTAACCAATTTGAATCCGTCGAACAGAATTTGATTTCGTCGAAATGTGAGCGGTATTCAGTCCCTTCAACGTTGCCAAGTGGACTGGCGGTATATCAAACTAAGTATATCTACTGTAGAACTACGATGGCTATCCGAGTACAAAACCAGATTAAGAAACCTAACCAACTGCAGAGAAATGTAAGACAGGCTGGCGTTATATGGCAGATGGCTAAGGATCGTGCTTTTTTGGCGTTCTTTGGGGGAGGCCTGTTTTCCACAGTGGTGTTTTCCACAGTAAAGGGCTGTATTTGATGAAAAATTTATGATAAATAAAAATAATAATTTAAAGCAAAATGTGAAACTCATAGTGATAAATATAAAATAGTGGAATGATTGTGGTGTGTAAAAGAGTAAACGCCGGGATATAAAATACTCTGAGCAGTGGCGAGAAGCAACGTATAAGATACAAAACGTCTGGTACTTCAATCGTCTATTGGCTTATTGAGTGTAACGTTTTACCAGAAAATCTTGTTGATCAAAAGCAATACTTATTTTGTACCGACCGTGTAAATAAAAATGCAAAGGAACCATCTCTTTTTAAGTGTTTGTATCGAACGAGTATGTAATGCTTGTAAAATAAAATAACGAGGATGATCCATGAAAAACAAAAACTCAATCATAATAACTCCAGACTCAAAAACAAACATTAAACCTAGTATTCATAATTAAGCCAAGCCATTGGGGAACGAATTGATACCTAATATTTTTAAATATATCAGATATTTATTTGGTTTCCAGAAAGCAGTCTTGTGTTACTTTTGAAACATGAAGAGAGTCAATGAATGCAGGTGTCTTTATGAAAATCTGTGGGTGAGGCTTATGTTTAACAGTGAACTAATTATCGGCTTATATAATGATGAAGATTATGACAGTATTTTAAAATTATTTTACCCTGTTGTAATAAAGTTGTACCATAATTTTCTCATCACTTGCTTCATGTTTATAAAATCGATTGTTTCAGTTTCTGCATTTAAGAAAAATCCATCGCCTACAGCCATTGATTGGGCACAGTGGTTAGCACCACGCACAAATGTATGCGGCACTAACGGTACATTATCATCCACAAAGGAATACTCATATAGATATATATCTTTGTTCCCAGATTCCACTTGTAACTGAACAGACTTTAGTGTGCCATACGCAAATATTACATCTGTAAAATAATCTATATATCTGAATATGGTTTCCTTGCTAACTGGTTTTTTACCAAAATAAAACTCTTTGATTCTCTGCGCGACTTCTTCTTTTTCTTTTAAGTTTGAAAACTTAAGGTCACCAGGCAGGAAATCGGCAAAATTTTCATTCATTTTACTAAACCATGTTTCAAAAAGCGGCACTCTAAATAATCCTTCCATTTCAGCAAATCCAAATAACATTGGTAGTTTATGATTGCGACCACTTTTTAAAATTTTCAATGGAGCATCGTCAAGAAATCTTTCCTCACCTTGTTCTCTTTCAACACAAGGTACAAAATAAAACGTAGAATCGGGCTCATTTAAAATATTAATAGAGGTTAAGGTTTCGTATGATGCTGATTTATAAAAAAATTCTAAATCATAAATATCATTGTTCTCATTTGTATAGTTAAGCATCTTCGCATATTTCCAAGCATTTTCGACTGGGTCTGTTTGAACACTAAAAACAGAGAGACTTGCTCCACTTTCAGGTATAACCTTATTAAAGAGACCTTTGGTCATCGGCGAAACAAGATGAAGATCAACCGACGATGAACCTGCACTAAATCCATTGATTGTAACATCATCAGGGTTTCCACCAAAACTGGCAATATTTTCTTTCACCCAGCGAAACAACGCCACTTGGTCCTTCATACCAGCATTGCCAGGCACATCTTCCGTGCCTAGGCATAGAAAACCATGTGCACCGAGACGGTAATTGAAGTTAACTATAATGATATTCTTATCTTTAATAAGTTGTTTTGCCGTCATTAAGTTGCCATATCCCACTTGATATGCCCCTCCGTGAACATGTACGACCACAGGTAAATTCTTTTCTTCCGTGTCAGGCACGTATATATTGGCGATTAGGCAGTCTTCCTGTTGTATGAGATCTATTCCCAAAGACATATATACAATTTGTGGGCAAACTACATATTTATTGACGGCCTCGAATGGTTCTGTCCATTGCGGCGGAGGAAGCGGTGCCTATAATAAAAATAGAATAATATTTTAAAATTAACAAAAATGCAAAGGGATAGATATAAGCAGAGGAGATAGGCGGTAAACTATCCATCCATCCATCCTTTATAAATTGTTTCATGGAGAGGTTTTGCCATAGTTGCCACCAGTTCTTTTATACTTTGAGTTGTTATCAAGTAGATGCTGCTGCCCATCTCATGTTTCATTTTTTCTCTATCACCTGTTACGACACCCTCGGGATCAATATCACTTAAAAAATAAAGACGTAAGTTACAAATTTCAAAAGTGATCATTCCACGAACGGATGGAAACATATTATAAAGTAGTTCAGTTTAATATTTGCATCAGAAAACAGTAATTGACAAACAAAAACCACACACCAACTAATTTCACTACAGATAAAAATACATTACCACTTTTCTATATATATATTAAGGGCTATCAATCTAAAAATATTTAATAATATGAATTTGGAATTATATTTTAGAATTCTAGAAATCTAAGTAGAAAGTTTTAAAATACCGAGATTTTAAAACTTTCTACTTAGACGGATTAATTTTGTTATATTAATTATGGATACAATTTGATAAATGTGAGTAACATCATATCAGTTTAACGATAGTAAAGCAGTTCTAACTCTCAACATATCATCGCAAGCGCAAGTGAGCAAGATTGATTAATCAATTATTATGATATTTAATTCCAAAGTCCTAATTATGCTCACATTTCATGAATTGGTGATTGCTTTAAAAATGATCTCTAAGCAAAGAGGTTTAAATATATACTACTTAAATGTCTTTGTCTCAAAGTAATTTTGAGAGCAATTATGTAATTAGATCCTGTTAAGTTGTTATAAAATTCGTGAAGCAGTTTTATTTTGAATAAATTTACAAAACGAGTGGTAATGAAACCGAATTCACAATTTATAGTCTGTCCCTACTATTTACTCGTGCAGATACTAAATTTGTTTTTTTTTAATATGTAGAAACGTGATCCGAATCCCTATTTTCCTATTGCATATTCTGGAGTTTCCTACGTTTATTACTTCTTTCTGGGAAGTTTATAGTGCGGATTTCTTGAATAACCTTCAAATAAATTTTTGTAGATATTTATCCATGTGCAATTTGTGTTTATAAAACTTTTCATAAAATACATGAGATTTCCCGTGTAGACGGTAACGTTTCTTTTTTTTTTTTTTTGAATTTAAATAAGAATAAAAAGAGAAACTCAAAAAATGAAAAAAACTTACTAAATTTCTTTACCTAAGTTATTAAAAGAACTAACAACAAATTCCTTCTATTTCTGTCATTTACGTATTTTCCAATGGTATTTAGGTACGTATTTATCATACACAACCTGCGGACTTTATACACGGACGAATTAATTGAATTGGTTTGAGTTCCTTAATAAACATACAACATGAATATAAAAATATTACCTTGAATTTGTCATCCCCTGTTGGTGCTGTTGCGTACGGTATGCCATAAAATGCAAACAAAGTATCATTTTGTTCCTTATATCCTCGCACGGGCCCCTGGGCTATATTTACTAGTCTCGCCTCGTTGGCTTGCGCTCCTGCAATCACCGAAATCAAACATAATAAAACCACACACATCCACATTGCGCGTGGCTATATTGCCGGTGCCGAAGTTACGAATGTTTGCCGTTCACGCATCACTAGTATATTTATATACTAGTGATGCGTGATACTATTATTTATACGATATACTATTATTTATTTTGTGGCATCACACTGTTTAGAGTCACTTCACAGATTACTTATCACGATGACTTCGCAGTTTCTTATTGTGTTAATAGAGATAATGGGTGCGTTTGGCAGAAAAAAGCGCTAGCAAGCGCTTGTAAGCAAAATGGCGAACGTAAGCGGTAAACGCTGTCAAATCGTAAGTAGCTATTTTCCTCTAGAACACGAAGTTAGTTTTAACCGGGTAACCTAACCTAATTTAAATATATGTTTGTAAAGTATTCATATTAAAAACTTACCAATCATGAATTTTTAATAACATGTATACGTTTATTCATGTCATTATATTACTTAAAACAAATATTGCACAAAACAACTTATAAACTCTACTTTAAAACAAACAAATTAAATAAGCAAAATGGCGGATTGTGTCAGCGCTACTGAAGTTAGCAAGTGTCCTAGCCGAAAACTCTTTAGTTTCGCCATTTTGCTTACAAGCGCTTGCTAGCGCTTTTTTCTGCCAAACGCACCCAATAGTTAATAGATTAATTACTTACTTACTTACTTATCTTCACGCACAATCTCTAACGGGGTAGCCAGAGAGAACAGATCGCCAAGTGTCACGATCCTTACATACCTCTTTCGCTTCTTTCAGGTTCATTAACTTCTTCATACATGCACGTCTAGGTATCCGAGTACTCTTGACCTTCCCCTATTCGAGCTATTTGTTCACATGGTCTTCGAAAGTTAGTCTCGGTCTACCTCGACACCTTTTAATATTTACTTTCGCTCTATATATTTTCTTCACCATTCGGTCTTCACTCATTCGCTCAACGTGCCCAAACTATTGGAGTACGCCCCTATCAATTTTTGTGATAAGGTCATCTTTCAATCCTGCCATATTGCGAATCTCTTCGTTTCGCTTTCGATCGGCTATGGTAACGCCACACATTTTACGAAGAGATCGCATCTCCACTGCATTCAACTTGCTTGTATGCTTCTTCTGGCATACCCAGTTAATAGATTAATAAAGTGTTAATAGAGTTTAAAGTCTGATATTGTCGTTTTGCTAGAGCGGTTGTTGTAGGGGTAGTAGAGGGAGTTGCTAACTTTGAATTAAAATTACACAAAAACTATAACACAGTTTAATCACTTCCGATTCTTATACAGGGTGTTAGTGTAAACACCATTGTCCTTGAAACCAGTGGTTTGGTTTCACTTATAGAACGTAAATTCAATGAATTAAAAAAAACGCTATTTTCTTTCATAAAATTTAAAAAGTTTCTATCCGACACCGTCCGTAAATTCATGGATACCCTATGCGCCTGAGTGACGTAATCACTGTAAAGATCAACGCCCGCGCTAGCTACCTACACAACATTCAACATAAAAACACAATAGGTACACATAACCTGTGATGTAAATTTTCCTTCATACTTTCATTCTGGCTTAGGACAAAAATTGAGAAATTAAGGAAAAATTGAGATTTTACTAAAAAAAATGTTGTTATTTTTCATTGAATTTACGTTCTATAAGTGAAACCAAACCAACGTGGTTTCAAGGACAACGGTGTTTACACTAACACCCTGTATAGTTTGTTGTTAGTTTTCCTACAAAATCGACTATTTTGGTTTTATTTGTAGGAATAGAAATGAAGTGCTTTTGTACAGAATTGTGCATGTAATGAAAAGTGAATTCTCTACAATAATTAAAAGTGCATAACGCATAATGCATACACATAAAGCATGGGTTCACCGTCTCAAATATAGGATCAATAATTTGGAAATTAAATTCACCCATAGAAAAGTAATAAATTTTTTTTGACCACTTCATGGAGTAGCTCACTATAGCTTTTTGGGATCCAGTGTCAATAACAGCAGATGTCTATTGAGAGGAACCTCGACTCGTCAATTACTCTTCGCCAAATAAACGTCGCCGTTTTCTGTATAGGCATTTTACTATCATCGACTTAGCCAAAATTAAGGAAGGAAAAGTATAATAAGGTAAATAAATATTAAGGTAAATAAGCATTAACACCAGTGACTACACCGCCGCCCATAAACAACTGCAGGCCATGAATTTGTATGATGATTTTGAATAAATTAATTAGAATTAAAGAATTATGAAGTAGTAGCTTAAAGCAAATTGTAGAATGAATAGTAATAACTTAAAAAAACTGGAATAATAGTATGAGAAAACCTCCATCCCATCCGATGGGTGCGCAAGAGAAGAAATTCCTAGATATAAAATACCCAGAGCAGCGGCAAGAAGCAACATCTAAGGTGCAAGACGTCTAGTGTTTCAATCGCCAATCGGCTTATAGGATTTCAGAAAATCTTGGTAATTTTAATAAAGCAATGCTTACCGTCAGTATAAGTAAAATCGTGGATGAACCACTTTACATCTTTTTGTATTGTACGTAATTCTCGTACGATAAAATTATGTAAAGGATCCATGAATAATAAAAACATGATCATAATTACGCCAGACTCAAAACAAACACTGATTTCGAATAGGATTCAAACCATTGAGCTATTATGCACTACGTACTAGAGGCGACACTGCATTCAGCTACTCTGTTCCACTCAACTGCGGTGCATACACCGCACTTTAATCAGTCACTCGCTAGGCGCTTGTAGAGTTGTCACTTGTTGTGTTGATTTAAAAAAAATATCTTGATAAAAATTTGCCGTCGTGTGTACTTAGGTATTGCACAAATAATTCAAGAAATGTTAGTAAAAACCAAGGAATTAATTTTCATCGGTTAATAAGATACTTAATCAATAAAAACGTATTATGTATTAATAATAAAACAGATTATTCCTAATACGTCATCTCGTGTCATGGAATATAAATTATGAAATTGATATGTTCAGATGCAACATTTCTGTGGGTACTTAATTATAGGACGAATATATTATTATACACATTTTTTTGTAGAAACATATATAAGTTATTATGATTCGGCAAAATTTTTGATTTTCAAATCTGCTTGTTATTCTTTTATTTTATTTTTAGGTTTCCACATCAAAGTCAAAGTGGTATAAATTCGTCCATTTTTAACTCCGCGTGCCCAGCATTTATGAACGACTTTTATACTAATTTAAATAAATATATTTGTAATTTAAATGTTATATTAATAAGTTTTGTTAAACATACATTAAGTATGTTTGTCATATTTTACTTAGATACCTTTTAAAATATTCAGATAAAAATATTATTAAAAAGTAATTTTTGATATAACATTAGGCAATATTATATTAAATAAGAAAATATAATATACAAAATAAATGACAAAATTCAAATATTGTTCTCGATATAATTTACCTATTTAACAATAAAATCTACGGGTCATCTACCAATGTTTATTCTATGATAAAAAAACAACCGCGCGAATACAGAGTAGCGCACATTTTTTGTTTGAGATAGCTGTTCTAGTAGTACTAGTACGTAAGTACATATTACTTCAATGATTCAAACCCAGTATTTACAACTTAGCCAACTCCCTAAACTAGATGCATATGCGAAACAAATTGATATCTAATATTTTTAAATATATCAGATTTTTATTTGGTTTGGCTTTTAATACTCTTAATACTTCCAGGATTGTAAAACATTGAGCTATCGAATTTCTTAACTAGATTCAGTCATTCTGACGGACGGAAAACCAATTTAAAAATGCCGGGAAAGTGCTTTTTTCTTTTTTTTTTCTTTATTAACTTGCTTTACGGCTCGGGTTTCTAGACCTTCTGAGCCTATCCTTTCTTTTTGGAATCTTCATTTTATGTTCTTTTTCTTCACAATATGCTGATGCGTCACATTGCGAAGCCCCTGGGAGATTTTGACGACTCAAACGACGAGCTCAACCTAGCGAACAGTTGATGACGACAGCCACTCAAGTTCAGAAGGCGCCCAAGCGATCAAAATAACTTGAGGTTTATATCGACATCAAAGCACTTGTTTCGTCGTTTTCTTTAATAGTTCACACGCGCGGACACTTCACAATACCGCATCACTTTTACGAATCAAAATCCACTTCAAACCATTATTCAAGCGACAAAACAGGAGCGACAATCAGTCTACGTCCAAGTTCCCGCCAAAACTCTTTTATTTTTCTTTGTATTTTAATATATGCATTGATATTAAAACCAGCAAGATACAAACAGTACAACCAAGAAGATATAAATAATACTAGTTTTTACGGATTCTATCGTGTTTATTTAACTTTTTAAATACCCGACCTTTGGAGCGCTTTACAGCACCCATGGTCACGGGGGGGACTGAAATTTTCAATGTCCAGATGTCATAGTTAACCGCGGTTACCATAGAATAGTGCTGTAAAGCGCTCGAAACGTCGGGTATTTAAAAAGTTAAATAAACGCGATAGAATCCGTAAAACTAATATTATTTAAATGTGTAGTGTTCGCGTAAATATCAGAAATCATTAACCAAGGAGATTTTTCTTCAATTTTATAGAAACAAAAGAAATTTTTCCTGACCTATTATTACATATTATTTCCATTGAATTATAATAAATTATTATTATAAATTGCTGCAGGGCATGTAGTAGTGCGGCGGTTGTTGAGATTTTTAGTGCAGCGCCACGGTATAATTAAAGTGCTTTGTGATTTATTATTGTACGTGTAGTAGTTATTAGTGTACGTATTTGGATTGACTTTAAAGGGAAAATTGCTTTAATTTTTACATTGATTATTGGTTGCGCGGAAAACCATTCGCGTTTTTTTTATTTTTGACGGTAGGAACTTGTCGAATCATTATTCCCTTCCGAAACAATATCATTCGTACCCTCCTATCGACACATCGGGGTGGTGGGGTGGGAGGGGAAAGAAGACGATTCTAGAACATCGCGTAATCATCGGACCCGAGGATATATAAGACACGCGCGACCGACGCGCGCTCTCTTCTCCCGCCGCAGTCGTCGTTGAACTACAACCTCCTCTTCCCGCGCGCTCGTTTGGAAACACCTCACTAGTGGAAACCGCTTTGGCCTGGAAGCAGTCGAGCTCCAGGAACCCGCCTCACCTCGTGTGAGATATCGTCGCGCATCGCCTCTCTCCGGAGTGTTCCAGAAGTCGCCGCTATAGTGATCGACACGAAGAAGAAACCCCGGTGAGTCAATACTCCTTAATTATACCTGCTTGCTAATAATTTAACCCGCTCCAATCTGTGTTTTTTTCCTAGTCAAGCAGGATTCCTTTCATCGATTCGACAAGTAATAGTTTAGTTTAGGGAAGAGCGAGTGCATTGTACCGCATGCTATAGTAGTCGCCTTATGTAAGCGTAGAAGCAATCGCATATACAGTCCACTTTAGTTAATATCTCGCGTAATAGGTTTGAGGTTTGACCGGGGAACTAGATTTTCGGCAGCCTTAAACACGTGGCTCCACCATTTTATGGTCCTTCGAGCCGGATCTGGATTGGTGTTTAGTGGTTATCCAACCATTTTCTGGTCGAATTATTAAATTAATTGTTTAGATAACGCACTCTAACTTATGGAATAGACTTAAATAGTGTTCGTTTAAATTAAAATTTTGATTTGTTACTCGCAAACAGAATTATTCATTTAATAGCGCTCGTATTTGGTTAAATTTAAAGCTTATTAAATAATTGAAACGGCGTGATAGCAACCGTTTGATACGCTTACCCCACAATTTTATAAAATTATTAGGTTTAGCAAACGACGCGTAGCCTTGACTGCATCGGGCGCTCGATCTGATTACGTAATACAGCACGCCGAGTATTCATCCTACGTCGTTTATGCGTGTGAGATTAATTGTGATTAATATAACTTTATTATAATAATTTAAAATGGCAGTTAGTGGAAGTGAAATCAAAATTAAAACGCTTTATGCCAAGAGGGACATACTCTTTTCGCGTGTGCAAAATATAAGTGATTATATAAAGAACATTCATATAGAGGCAGTACGGGAGGCCTTTTTAAATGAAATCGAAACGATAGATAATTTGCGGACAGATTACGAAAGAATATTAGATCAAATTAATCATTCGGAACTACAAACCGACCCGAAATACATAGTGAACTACCAACCGCTGCTGGCATTCGAAGATATGTTGTGTCGCGTGAAGAGAACCGCAAAATTGCTACAATCTCAAGGTGAAGCGAAGCCTGAAATGCAGGTACGCCCTCGTGACTCAATTAGGTTACCGCCAATAGATATTCCGGTATTCAATGGTGATATTAAGACGTGGCCCTTCTTCTTCAGTAGTTTTCAAAACAATATACACAACAACCCATCGTTATCGGACGCTGAAAAATTATATTACTTAATTAGCAAACTTAGTGGCAGAGCACAGTCGATCTGCTCGGGTTTTACACCTACAGCAAACAATTACGTATTAATATTTGAAACGCTTAAAACTAAATATGAAGATAGGAGAATGTTAGCTTCCGAATATTTGAACCAGATATTCGATCTTAAACCTATATCATCCGCGAACATCAACGGCTTAGAGCAGTTTCTCGATAAATTTGTGGCATCGGTGGCTGCACTTAAGAATTTGAAGTTTGATGACCTTATGGACGTGGTGTTTCTCCATATAGCATTAAAGAAATTAGACTCCGACACCGTGCGTGCGTTTGAAATGGAGCATCGTAGCTCGGAGATGCCTTCCTTTCATTCATTAGCATCGTTCGTGCGAGATCAAATAAAGGTGATGCAGCGCTCACCGAACGTTAAACAGGACAAGTCTCAATTGGAGTTGGCACGACTCAACCGAGAAGAGGAGATCGACTCGAGTGAAGATGATGAAGAGCGGAATACTCAGGTGGAACCTTTCGTAAGGAGTTGGGTTCAGCAGACCATAATGAGTGCGCCGGTTAGTGTGACGCAACCCGATATTACTGATAAGGAAGCGTGTAAAGGATCACGCCGCAAAGGGGCGGAAATCGAGCGCAACCAAGGAAATGCACAGAAAACACACGCGAGTGAGGTGTCAGAGTTGACCGAAGCGATTGTGAGTGCAATAAAGATAGCGGGTAAAGATAAGTCTTCCCAGCTTCATTTCCTCCAGGAATTACCGGTGTTCGATGGAGACCCGGGTGAATGGATAATTTTCAAAACGGTGTTTGAAGACACAAGAAGCCAATTTTCAGGGGTGCAGAATGTCGCACGCCTTAGGAGGGCATTAAAAGGCACCGCTAAAGAAGCGGTCAAGTCGTTATTATTTACTTTGTGTGAACCTGAAGAAATAATGAACGCTCTCGAAAGAAGATTCGGTAGGGTTGAGATGCTCATTCTAGCCGAAATCGAGAATGTAAAACGTATGCCAAGATTGGCAGAAGATTGCCGGAATATAGGATCTTTTGCAAGTCGTATTACGAACGTGGTTGCCACAATACAAGCGTTGAATCAACCACAGTATTTATACTCACCGGAGTTAGTGAGCCGCATAGTGGAGAAACTCGGAACTATGATTAAATTTAAATGGTTTGAAT